GGCTCTTATGTAGCCTAAATGGCTCCTGCACAGATCTTCAGCCTTTTTCCATGTTATTGGGGGGTGCCGTGGGAACAACCCATTTTCAGTGGAATGCTAATGATTTTGATGGGTCCATACACCAAAATGTTTCTGGTAAAATCATTCCCTTCTCCCCCACCCCGGTCTGTGTGACTAGCCCATTTTTGTTTTTATTAGTTAAGGGGGTAAATGATGTGAATAAAAAAGAGATTAATTGTTCACAAGATCATTGTGCACTGGCGCAATGCTGGAATACCACTGAAGGTTGGGATTTAGCTGTTGTAACGGCCCTACCTAGATGGATACCTTGGCCTGTAGAAGCCCCCACCGCCATGACGCTCTGTCGTCAAAAGAGAGAATTTGGCATGACTGCGGCAATAGTGACTGCAGTTGCCGTGGCACTTGCAGCATCAGCCACAGCAGCGGTGGCCCTGACCACTGGCATCCAAACAGCCACTGCCTTAAACAACTTAAGTGATTCTGTGGCCACAGCATTGCATGATCAGTCTCTCATAAATGGTCATCTCAAAGGAGGCTTGATGGTTCTCAATCAACGAGTTGATTTAGTTCAAGAACAATTAGATATTCTGCTTGAAATAGGACAGTTGGGTTGTCAATGGCGTATGCAAGGTTTATGTGTTACTTCTATTCCTTTTCAGAATGTTTCAATGGCTGCTAATCTTTCTCACCAGCTTTCTTCCTATCTTTTAGGAAATCGGACGAGAGAATTTGATATTTTACAGTCTGAGCTGAGAATTGTCATTGTCCAGATTAATTCTACACGGGTGGATCCTGTTGTTGCTGAAACCCTGGCCACTTGGATTTGGAATATCACTTCCCATATTAAGGAATGGGCGGGAGTGGTTGTGCTGATTCTGCTCTTGTGTGCAGGCTGTGCCCTATGCCTTTTTTTCCTGTGTCGTCTGAGACGCCGCGCTCAGTGAGATTGTGTGGCAATACATCAAGCCCTACTAGCCATGCAGTATGGTGACTCCCCCATGGTATGGTTGAGCATGCTTCAACAGGCTTAGTTAAGAGCATGGACATCATGGCTCCTGCACCTCAGGCCATTATGGCATTGCACTGAGTTTGAGCATGATGCGCCCGACTAGCCCTTGCACCTCGCAGGACTTGTCCATTGCACGCGAGAGGGTAGTCGCTCTTATAACTGCCTTGTCGAGACATTGCTCTTTACAACCACCGTGGTTGTAGCCCATGACGGGTAAGATAGACCCAGACAATTATCGGTCTAAGACAGGGACTACGTCAAGCTACGCAGCCTCCCTATGACGGATCGTGTGCCTTGAGTCTACAACCTAAGACAGGCCCATACCAGCTTATTTTTTCTATTGTATAAGAAAGGGGGAGATGTTGCCAGCCGCATCTGCATGTACTGGCTACATGCCGTACCCAAAATGGCGCCGGCCGGAAAAGCCACACCTTGGTGCCTGGTGGAGAGTCACATAGCTTTCGCGGTACTGTGCAGGCGCCTAGCACATGCGCAGTGAGCTGCGGCGTGGCTGGTGCATGAACACTGGGGACTGGCGAATCCGGTCACCCAGGACCCTGCATGATCATGACACTAACCTGGCAAGGGCGGAGCCGGTCAGCACATAAGAGCAGGCAGCCTGCAAGGGTCAGGCCCTTTCCTCTTCCTCATCTTGGTGTGCACAATAAAGACTACCGCAGGAGACTTCACTCGCATCTGCCTCTTATTGCTGGACGACAGTAACTGCTTTTAAAACTTCTATCTCTCAGCTTTTGAAAGTCAAGGTACTTTTCTTCATACAGATTACAAACTCTCTGGGTAGCTAACATACCACAAGGTTACTAATTATCAATACAGTACGACTCTAATCAATGCCATTCCTGTTTATTATCACCAATAAAAAATAATGATAATGTAACACTCATAAATGCACTGGTACCACTAATTATACATCCTCAGATGCGATGCTTTTAGATTATGTGATTTTATATCAATAAAAATCAAATTGTCTCAATTATGATATGGACCCTCTGTTGACTCCGACCCAATTTCTATTTTTAGTGTGGCAACATAGTACGTAACTGCTTACTGAAGACTTACCCAAAGGGAGCACAAAAATGTAATCACTGACTCAATGTGCTGTGTATATTTACGTGGAAATTAATTTTACTATTTTAAAAAACTTAATAACTTTTTACTTTTATTTGGAAGGGACAGGCATATATAAAATCTTCCATGCACTGGTTCACTTCCTACATGTCTGCAACAGACAGAGCTGTGTGAGGTTAAAAGAGATAACCTGAAATTCATTTTAAGTCTTCCACCCTAGCTATCATCTTTAGCTTACTATCTGAAGTGCTGCCAGGGAACCAGCCTGGGTGAAGAGGAGTTGTGTCTCAAGCCATGACTCTGAAATGGCACAACCTAAACAGAAAAATAACCACTGTACCAAACGTTCATCTCTGAAATGAATTTTAAATACTCCCAGAAACATAGACTATAAGCATCCTTGCCTGGGGATGCAGAGCTAAATAAAATAATCTTTAGTAAAGATAAAAAAAAAAATCCCAAATCCCACTGATCAAACAGTAAATTCTTCTTGGTTTTATGGAATATTACTTCTAATTCACTGATTTGCTACTTGTTGAATCAAAATTAGAAAATGCACATGTATTTCACTGCGTGTAACATGGATGATGGAAATAAATAACAATCAACTTTCCTATGTTTATTACATTTAGCAAAACTGTACTTTTAAAAAGGAGAAAGTATCAACAATATCAGAATCAAAGAAGCTAACATATTTATTGAAAGAAAAATACTTTTCCTTTTAGTTTTGCATGTTATTTTCAATTATACATTTGTAGTAGTGTTGTATTTCCTCATATGAATTTCTTTAAATATTTTACAATGGAGAGGAAGCAACGTACACTATTTTATAGACAACTTCAACTAAACAATAACTTAGGTCTTTGAAAGAGTTTGTACCTCTGTAAGACTTTTAACTGAAACCTTAACTTTTTAAACTTTGCTAACAAAGTTCAGCTCAAAACCTAGCTAAAACTGAAACCTGTATGAACAGTAAGTACAACTGCCATTTTCTTTTCTGCAAATGTCTTTACTATACCAAAATCATAATTACCTTTTAAAATGAGGATTTAATGTTGTGACCAAAAACCTAACTGTGCATAACTACAGACTGTGTGAGAAATAAGCACTGAATATTGTATTCACATACTAAGACATAAAGGGATAACTTTCTCATCAACTAACTTTATGTAAAGGCTTATGAATCAAAGTCTTACTTGTATTTTCTTAAATTTCTTAAATTTACTTGGGAAAACTCAAATTCAAAGATTATTTTAAAAGAATTGCCCATCTAGAACATATAGTTTTGAAAATAGGCTACAAAATGACATTAATAACTGGAAGAGGATATCAACAAGTGCTAAAAAGAAAAAAGAAGTTGCAAAAAATATCTATCCCATGCTTTTGCTTTTGGCTGGCATTAGGTTTAGGTTCCTATACAACTGGAGACTTTAACACTGGATTAACTCTAGCATCTAAAAGGCCACTTAAACATGTTTAAACCTGTAAATGCAGCTTCTAAATATGACTGCTTGGCACAGAGAAAGATGTCAGAGGCTGAGTAAGCATCATGAAGCACCAAAATGCAGCACACTACCAAATAGGAAAAACATTTTTTGGGAATTTCCTACGTTGTGACAAGTCTGTAAGTGTTAACACTCAATAGCAGGAACTTCAAAGGTGTGTTAACCAAAATCCCCAATAACCATGTCCTAATGTACTGCACTCACTGAATGTTAAAATTTTATGTATGGCTAATTGCTAAAACTACATCAACGTTCAAATACCCATAACTGAAAGACTTAAAATATACTTTTATGTCCCAAAGTCAACTTATGTACTACTTCTTTTTAAATTTTTGCAAACTCTAGTTAATAAAAATAACGCTCAACTTGCCAACTCTACATGGTAATTAACACTTTTCTACTATATGGACTTAAAAGAAAACTTAATTTTTAGGAGGTACGTTTGGATTAGCCTCCCAGAGAAACCTGAAGTAAGAATTTAGAGTTATGTGAACATATTTCATCTAAAAATACCTTATTCTATACCAAAACATTTAAATGTTTTGCCTTTTCTAGTGTTCTTATTTTCCTTTTAATTCTTCATCTTGAATTTAATCTCTCAAGAGCATGTTGAAAAGGTCACACTTACATCTCTAAACTTAAGAGGTATTTCACATTCTTTTCATCAAAGGTTTAAAATGTGAGGTTATGTATTTTAATGTATAATAAGCAAGTAAGCAACACATAATGCTGCAAAAAAAAAAAATCTTATGAGCCACTTTTAGCTCACATAGAATCCAAAATTCCCTCTTCCATTAAGTTTCATTTATAAAATATTATTCCAAGACAAAGCACAGATAGGATAAAACCAAAAAAAGCAAGTCTTTTCAGTAGGACTTTTGAAGTTGTCTACGTTAAAAAATAGAAAAAAAAAGCACTGAAAAGAACATTTAAGCTTTGTTTGGCTGCATAGTTCACTTAAACAAGATGAAAATCAAATACAAATCTAGTCAGTGTTGTATATAAGTGTTTCAAATGCAAAGTTCCACTCTCAGATAGTCTGTAAAGATTAGGAAGCAAGACAAGAAAATGACTGCCATGCTATAATACTAAGCCCTGACAGTAAAACCTCCCAGTTTATGCTAGTAGATGTGTCCAATAGAAAAATCAGCACAGAAAAATATTTCCTGCTTTTAAAGTTACCAATCTTACTTTGTCTCAATGAGTACCACCAAGATGTGCAGCTTAAGGATTGCAGGCAAATGTAAACAGAATCCATTTCTGCACATAGCATAAATTAATACACTGTATTGTATGTGACTGAAGCTAATCTGCTTTAAAATAAATTTTCTCCCTCCACAAACACCAATATTCCTCCAAGTTGTCTAGAAGAATCATTAGGGCAGGTCAACTTCTTTATGATGCCGCATGATGTGCTGGTTCTTTTCTGAAGGTCTTCGGAAACCTTTCTTGCAGTACTCACATCGGTGAGGATAGTCTTTTGTATGAATGGAAATAACATGCCATTTAAAGCCTGAGGCGTCTGTAGTGCTATATTCACAGTACTCACACTGATACACTTTCCTGCCACTGTGTGTCTTCATGTGCTTTTTAAGCTCATTCTGTTGGTTAAATCCCTTTCTACATCTCTTACACCTAAATGGATCATCCTTTGTGTGAACTGAGAGAATATGGCGACTTAGAACAAACGGATCTGTAATCTTAAAGTCACAATGTCTACATTGGTGCAATTTTTTACCTTTGTGGGCAGCCACGTGTTTCTTAAGTTCTGAAGGCCGGTGAAAGCCTTTATCACACATGTCACATTTGTGGGGGTAGTCCTTTGTGTGAACCGAAATAATGTGTCGTTTCAAATCACTTGAGTTTGAGCTCTTATGGTCACAATGCAAACACTGGTGTGTTTTGCTTTCTTGGTGGGTAACAGCATGTTGCTGCACTTCTTTGGTATTTGGGAACGTCAGAAGACACATGTCACACTTAAATGGCATCTCTTTACTGTGCTTAATTTTCACATGTGTTTTCAAGTTAGAAGAGTCTGCAGACTTGTATTCACAGTACTGGCATTCATATGGCTTCTCACCAGTATGGATCCGCATGTGCTTTCTTAGTTCTGATGGGTGACGGAAGCCTTTACCGCATTCCACACAAATGTGAGGGAAATTTTTACTGTGGACTGCCAAAAGGTGGCGATTCAATAGCCCTAGTTCAGCTGTCTCATATTCACAGAATTTGCACTTGTGCATTTTGTTGGCTCCTTTTTCCTTATGCACCATTTTATGAGTTAACAAATCCCCAGCGTGAGAGAAATGCTCTCCATACTCATTGCATTCAATGGATTTCTCTGTCTTGCTGGTTAGCTTGTGGCTTTCCAGGTGATTATGTAAATTTACTTTCTTGTTTGTAGCTTAGTCACAGTCAGTACAGCGGTACTTCTTGGTAAGGTACTCAGGATGGTTTTTCATGTGCCTTTTCAAGAATCCTCTGGATTTAAATTTCTTCCCACAAATAACACAAGGATAAACAGTCAAGGGCTGTCCATCAGGACCAATGATAATTGCTATGAAAGCAAAAAAAAAAAAGTGCATGAGTAATTAAGACAAACTTTAGTTTCTCCAAAATGTCAACATGCTCTAAACATCATTGGGAAAACACACCTAAGTTATGACCAGTCTGTCAGTAGCAGTTGGGTAATAAAAAGAACTTGTCCTGCTAAGAATAAAAATGTAGAGGAAATCATTTCTCAAATATAGTGTAATGTTTTTGCTTAGATCATTTGAAATAAAAATTAGGCTGACAATAACATTTAAGTGCATATATATAAAAAATCCCATATATAAATACATAAAAAACCAATCCAGGAAAGTCATATGTTCTGTGAACAATTTAAGCAATTAGGACTCTGTGCCTCTATAAATTATGCTTGCTTTCTGATACGTTTCTTTAAATTTATTTATGAAAACATTGTATAAATCTATACCACTGAATCACCACATATTTTCATTTCTTTCCTTCAAATTATGATTGACAAAATCTGCTTCTTTCTTATCTACATAAATCATTCATGACTATCAATGAACTCTGAAACCTTATTTTCAAATTGATACATAAAAGCACATGTGGTCTGGTGGCTAAATGCCATTCCTTGTGTCCACCGTGAATATATATTAGGGTTTTATCTGAAAACTCACTGTGCCTTGCAACATTTGTACCCTCACCTGTTTGGTACTGCCTGGAATCAGGTCTTCTCCTTTTCTTTGTTTTTTGTTTAGCCAGTCTGCTGAGGCTAGCAGACTCATCTATGTGCAAGAGGGCACTGGCAGTGCCATTCCGGTTTTCAATTCCATCAGAATTATTACCTAACAATATGCATTAAGAAAAAATGATGCAGTATTATAAATTATAAAGAATTAGGAATTCCTTCTAACTACAACAATAAGACATGATACTCATGAATGACAGAACTCCCTGTTTTTGGTAATGGGCTTTATGGGCATGTTTATGAAAGCATGACTACGAGAAATGCCAAGCTTCCACATATAGCAGCACCCTTACCGCACAGATTCCTGTGATACATCCCAAATCGTGAGGTCACAAGCTAAAATTATTTACCATGAGAGAAAAGGGGGGTTAGTCATGGTCCGTCCCATCTCGTCCGTCAGTCAGTCACAAACGCTCTCATTGATCTAATTGTATTAAATGCTACAAAGAGAAAAGCCAGACTTTGATGAAAGTGTGAATGGATGGCTAGATGAGTCCAGAGGCAAGGTCCAAAACTCATCAGTTGAAAGAAAAATTTCCTAATGAAATATTGAAACTGAACTTCAAAGGATCAATGAGAGCTAGATGAATAACATTTACTCCAGTGGTTAAGACACTGGTGGAGAAGTCAGCATCGCGGTCACTATCTGTAAGTTTACCAGTAACTTGTGAAATGTGTCATGCCAATAGCATGCTGGACTTTCTGCTATTATATGTGAATGTTACAAGGATGACCTTTTAACTGTTTATGAAGAACTATACTATTATATGAATATAAAGGAAATCAGTTAAGTGGGAATGGATTTGGGAACTGGAAAGGGAAATCCCAGAGCTCATGGAACTATATCACAAAATAATAATAATTTTTTTTTAAAAAGAAATGCTTAAAATTAGAAATATTCTCCGAATAAAACCAGGTGGTAACTCAAGATGTACTACAGAAAATAAACAAAATTTATGGTATGATAAGAATCTCAATTCAGCAAGAGGATATAAAAACCATGAATATATATATTCACCAAATAGAAAAACAGTCAGATAAATACAGCCAATAGTATCACACATGATGGGAGGGAGTGGTTATAATATGAGAAACAGATGACTTCAATATGTCACAGAATGAATTATCCAGACAGAAAGCCAATAAACCTAAATTTAAGTCAAATCATGCTATCCAGCAGATGTACCTCACAGACATTTTGCATAATATTTTACCTAATATCTACAAATTACACACTTTTCTCATCAGCAAATGGAACCTTTTTAGGATTACACCACTTATCATGGGCCAAATCTAGTCTCAGCAAAGTTGAAACATACACTCTTACCCTAGCCATTGAAAATCTGCCATTTAATACTGTGAAATTCTTCTCTGGCTAGACAAATGAGTACTGCTACCCAAGCCCTTGTACTACCTGAGGTATTCTCCACCTAGACCCAGAACTGGCACCAGCTCATCTGTAGTTCTGAGCAGCCCCCTCCTGGGAGCCACAGGTGTCCCTGAACTGGGTGCAGCATCTTTGCAGATGGATTCCTAATTGTTGTGTGTATACGCATGATTGGACAGGCCCTGAAACTTTGGGTCTTTTCTCTCTGATTCTCCCCAGCCCCCATCATATTCAATATGAGGTCTCTACCCTCAGACACACCCCGCAAATGATACTGAGGCCCTTTCTGTCTCAGGAGCATTGGTTTCTCCCACAAAGATCCAGATGAAAGAAGATAATTAACATGTAGGAAAGACACACACACCAACATGTGTTACTCATGAATACAGGCACATACACACATCTGTCCTTACAATTCAATGACACGCACACAAGTGCACATTTCCATGCCACCCACATAGTCATAGAAACACTTACATGTAATTGCACCTTCCATCTGTTGGACTTCAGCACTGAGGCTATAGAGCCTGGAAACAGCAGGCAGAGGAACCAGAAGATGCTATTTCCTGCAGACGTACCAGAGCCAACGTCAAAAAGAGTCAATCATTTCTCCCTGGAGATAAGATTTCATTCCTAAACACCCCAATGCGTATTTAACAACAGGTTTCTCTCCCACGTTCATTGAACAGATATGCTGCTCATATACCCAAAGGAAAAACAGGTCTAAGGCTCCATGAAGTCTTATGGAAAACTGATCTGGAACCTCTGTCCAAAACAGTAATAGCAGATATGGCATGTAACTTGATCCTCAGATGTGTATGCACTACACATTTCTGCTTCAAAGATATATCCCTCCATTGACTGTCTAGCTCTCTGACCACAGATTCAGCTACCCACTACCCTCTGATAGGTTTACACATAAGACTCTGTCAACCTCAGTGTGATGACCCAAATCTCCACAAGAGTATTTTCTCATCAGGAAAATGTGAATGAGGGAAAATAGCATGGTGGTGAGGTGCTTTTAGCCTCAGACTTCAGTGCCGCCAGCCTGTATATATGACTGCTGGACTACTGGCTGTGCTGCTGCTGAGCAACTCTGCTGATACTACATCTGAGAAAACAACAGAATATGGCCTTAGTTTGTGGCTGTATGTGAGAAACCTGAAAGAAATTTCTGCTCCTCATCATTCCAGGCACAGTTCACATACCTGGTGTGGAGATAAATGCTGAATTCAATGCACTGTTATAACTGAATCTCATCTGTTCTGTGATAGCCTCCATCCTGCTTGAAGCCCAATTCTGCAAGAGCTCTCCCTGCAAACATATATCTTTCATGAGATCAGTGAAGTCCCATGTCCAATTTGTACATACAGTATTTGTTCTGAGAAGCATGCTTTCTTACTTCCTTCCTCACTAGTCATCCTCAAAACCCTAGACCACCTTCCTCTCTCCTTGACTGGCCATGAAGCACACAGAGTTTCCGTAAACTCCAAATTTCATTCAGTTTTCTGCCACAAAATTTGGTGAGTGGACACACTCCCTACCTCTAGCTTTCCATACATGCTTCACAACTCAGCTTTCCCAAAGGCAATCATTAGAATTCCTTTCTCTTGGATCTTTCTTCGGGATCTTTGGAATCCTAGATCCAGAATTGTAGAAGACTCTTCATTGTTTCTGATCCTCTCGCAGAACTACTCACAGAAACAATTGTCCAGATGCAGCTTCCTTCTCTCATCCACATCCCTAGTTGTGTTTTGTTTAGTTGATAATATGTATTATGATTATTTTCTATTTGAGAGGCAGAAATGCAAAGAGGAGAAGGGGAAAAAGACAGAAATACCAAGAGGAAGGGTGGAGTGAAGAGACAAAGAACAGAGTGGCAGGCAGGAGCTTCAACCAGGTCTTCCAAGTGGTCGCAGAAGTCAAAGAATGAGGACATCCTCAGAAACTTCCCTAGACATTTGGGGAAGCATCTGGTTTGGCAGTAGAGTAACCAGTACTTGGGATGTAGGCACCACAGGCACTGCCTTAGCCCACTGCATGACAATGCCTTTCCCAGAATCTGGCTCTTTTATCTGTTTTTCCTCCCACTGTGCTTGACCTGGCTTTCTCTCTCATAGATTTAAAGTCTTCTGTATTAATTTGTTTAGATACTGTATAATTCTCAATAGAATAAAATCCATTACTCTCAGGACACCAATTTCAAGCAATGTCCATTTATTCAGGACATTTTTGATGCAGGAAAGGCTTAATCAATGCTAATGAGAGAAAGAGTGAGTTTAATGGCCCCAGTTGATCTAGATTGCTCAAGGCCCATCTTTGTGCCCTGTTTATTAAACATATTGATGTATGCTATGATAAAAGAAATAGCATTTATATAGCATGTGCCTTTAGAAACTGGTCATGATATTCAAAGGTCATTCAAATAGACATAAAAGAGGACATATCATGTAAAAGCCATTGACGAAAGTGGAGAAGAAAGGAATGTGATCTTGTCTTTGAGAAAAATATCCTCTCCATATGTAAAATGTCATGGTTCTTACCTCATCCAGTTCGCCAAAGAAGTGTCCTTTCCATCCACGTACTCATAACTGTTTCTCCCTTTGGCTATCTGAGTTTCAGAAAAATCAGTTAATATGTTTCTGCAATGGCGATAGTTCAACAGAACTATTAACTCAACTACCATCATGTTCCATGACATTCCATGAGTCCAACCACATCTTGAGACAGAACATAGTGTTGGTACACACCTAATCTGATTTCTTTCCTCACAGTAGAAGCCACAGCAGAGATCGAACGGCTTTGTTTTTACAGCCCAGCGGTCTCATCAATGCTGAACTTCAAAAAGGTTTCTGTGATGTAATCATGTTGGCTCCACTCATGCCATAGTGAGTAGAAGGACAAATGACACAGGAGAAAGGGCACGGCAGGCAGGCAGAAAGCCACCAGACTGCAAAGGGAGGTACTTCTTACCTGCCAGCTGTACCCACTGTTGGCTTCCTCTTCCACTTCCGTGACCTTGTACTCAAAAGGACTGAAGTGCAACCCCATGGCAGATCAGATGCTTCATTATACACTCCAAGCCCAGCCTCAGGAATGCTGGATGGGCCAATTCGAAGCACAGTGGGCACACTGAGGAGAGCGCAACTAGGATGTCCCTTATCCACTGGGTTGTCCTTTAGAAACACTGGGGGTCCATGAGCAGCACAGCTTTCCAGGAAGATCTTCTGACACTTCTCACAATCTGGAGATGAAAGTGGAAGCGATTAGGAAAGGATACCAAACAGTACTGGATATAGAGAGCATCAGAAGTAGCCAACTACGCACATCACTCAGCCTCTATTTTGCAACCAAAGTTACCAGCAGACGGAATGATAAAAGACTGAAGTACAAGTGGAATTTCATTTCAGGCTATAGGATTTCTCTTTGTGGATGTGCCAAAGGGTCACTTACGTAGGTAGTCATCATCTTCAGTCTCTCTGAACTCTTTGTACGACTGGCCATTTCTTTCTTGCAAGTTGTAATCTAAAATTCTTCATTCTCATCCTTTCTCCTCTCTTCTGAGATGGAGAGACTAAGTCAGTAAAGTTATTGGTAATTTTGTGTTTAATGTTTAAAATAAAATGCAGGACTTTCAAGACAAGGAAAAACTGTATGAACATTTTTTTTCATGAAAAATCTCTGGTTTCCCTTTATTTTCCCTGGTATTTGAACATCTGTTTATTTAAAAGACAAAGAAAGACACGTCTAGAGATTGACATATCAGATGAGAGAAACAGAATATATAGAAGGCAGAGACAGGTTTGGAGGTTCACTGTTTAAGTAACCTTGAGAGCAGGCAATCCAGACTCAGATCAGAAAGCTTTATCCAGTTCTCACAGAAGGGTGGTAAGACCTTAATCACTTGTTTCATCACCAAGCAACACTAAGTTGTATATCAAAAATATACTACAGTCAGAGAGAGGGTTGAGTCTGGAACCCATGTGAAACAGGCATATTAACTAGTATCTTCATTCCTAGGAAAATTATTTTACTTCCTCTATAGAGTTTTTGTATATAGCCTAAGTAACCTTATCCCATTATTTTTTAGATCAGTCCCCAACAACTTAAAAAGAAATCATGTTTCTAAAGGCTCTATTTGTTTTCTTTTGAGTGAGACCCTAGTATGCAATTACCTCTCACAGCTTGAGCATACTCATCAACTCTCCACCTCTTTGAGCTTCCTAGTGGGCCTGAAGAGACTACTCCTGAAATTATTTTTCTTACCAATGTTTTGTGTAGAGTGCTCTTCTGAGATGTTTGATTCTTTAGGATGGAAACTGCTTTCTAGCCCCTCCTTGAGTCAGCAGTGTATAGTAAAATTGCTATTCCTCATGATTCCTTCATACTCAATTCATTATGTCAAGGCTCGTTGGGCTATCCCATTAAATACAAAGAAACATTTTTGTTTTTAAACTCACTATCCAGTTTAGTTATCCTTTTGGATTGCAAAGTGTTTTCAGGTACATGGCATTCTTTAATGTATCAGAAAACATGGGAAATATCTGAGGTGTTTGAATACTGAAGGTAAAGCAGGGTCTGTACTTCACAAGTCTTTGGGGATAGATCATATCATTTGAGCCTATTTCACTCCAGATGTTTCAACTTCCTCTGCACAACTGAAAGTAGAAAAGGGAAGGACATTTAGAAAGATAATCTGGAGATCAACATTTGTGAAAGCAGGTAGGTAGGGCTCTTTAGAAGAGTATGTCTTATCAATCTGTGGACACTCAAGGGGAAAATATAGGAAAGCACAGACAGGTTCAAATACAACTGGAACATTTAATTGCATAAATGAGGTGAAGAAGAGGTGAAATCAGATGATTGTTCAAAAAGCAAAATGGTTATAAAAGCTGGAAATGATAGTATCCTGAGACTACTTGATTTGGGGATTGGATGAGCTGTTGCCTATATCAATTTACTTGAATCCAGGTGTACTGTCACCTACTTCTCCACAGCTACTTTTTCTGAGCTGTAAATTGGCATACATACATTTTAGATATTACATACTCTTTAATGTGAGTTTAATAATTTTTTCCTACTGCTGCTAAATATTTATCATGTTTTTATAGCCAAATACCAATGAAAAAGAAAAAAGGAAAAATAAGAATCTTTAGAATTCCTTGGACTTGCTTTTTCTGTTTCATCAGAAAATGTTGAATGAATTTCCCAGAAAACTTGCAGAAGTTCTTCATGACCCAAATTGTGCCAAAGTTTTGGAGAAGTATTTGTAATCCACTGGACACTCAAAAACTCATGGTGCATTGCAGAAGCAACTGAAAGGAAAAAAAAATTCCAAACACTGGAAAAACTATCTACTTATGGCCCAGAGAAAGAGGATTTTTTTTTTCCTACAAGAATGGGGACATGAGTTTAAGGTGCAATTCTGTTTAATGTATGAAGGAACACAGAGAGAGGAAAGTTTAAATCATTGCTTATTTGATACATTCTCAGGATTAAACCTGGGAGTCTTCAGGCTTGAGGATTTTGTTTATTGATAAGGAAGATTTCTAGAGAGAAAGATAGACACACATCATCAATCCACTGGATCATTCCCCAAGTGACAGCAACAGCCAGAGCTAAGCTGATCTGAAGCCTGGAACCAGGAGCCTCCTCCAGATTTCCCTTGTGGGGCAGTGTCCTGAGGCTTTGGGCCATCCTCCACTGCTTTTCCAGGCCATAAACAGGGAACCGGATAGGAAGTGTATCAGGGCCTCCCATCCCGTGGAAGAAATCACCCGACACTGGAGAGAGTTTCAGAGGTGCTTTATTCAGACCTTCCGTTAAAACTGTTATGTCCATTATCTGTTACGCAGAAGCCCCTCTCACCCAAGCCCCCGACTTATATGTCAATCCTATCTAATCAACTTAAAGATCACTAAGGCACACCGATCAGGGCAAAGAGCCAATCACAGGGCAAGATATTGTCAGTGCCCCCAATAAAAATGAAACACCTGGGTTTTCCACATGGGACCCAAGAGTGTGCAAGGTGAATATTTACCCACTAGGCCCTTGGAGACTTTCTCTGCTCTGAATCAATTCCCTAAACACTTAACGTTCCTATACCACACTTTCCTCATCTTTTAAATGTGTGTACTTAATAAAAGATCCATAGTGTTGTTGGAAGGTTTAAATGTGTGTGTTGATTTAAACCTCAGAAACAAAGTCTGAAAAACTGAAAACAGAACAAGAAGTAGTGATAATTTGGCTTGCCTTATTTACAGTTTATGATCATGTCAGCTATTATGAAAGATTATGACAGGAAGAAGACAATGAATAGTGTTTGGTGTCCTTTCTCCTCTTACCTGTGAGGAACTTAAGATGATTGTTCTCTAATTTTTTATTTATATTGTAATTAATTTTTTCCAATGAAAATAAATAAGCAGATTAATTTTTTGAAGGAAATTAAGACTTAAACAAGAGGGAGAAAAATAGAGAGAAACATCATCCATTGGTTGGTTCATTTCACAATGAGCACAGCATCTGGAACTTCAATGTCCAATGCAAGCAGCAAACACAGGTGCACCAGCTACCTGAAGCAATTACAGATAGACTTAAGAGGGGACATAGATGCATACAAAATAATCGTGGAGAACTCAATACCCCGTTTACAGCAATAGACAGATCAACGTAACAGAAACTTAAGAGAGAAACAGTAGAACTCACACAGACCATAGAACTAATGGACCTGGTAGACATTTACAGAACCCTCCACCCCACGGACACAGAATACACATTTTTTTCAGCAGTGCATGTTACCTTCTCCTGAGTTGACCACATGGTAGGCCACAAAGAAAGACTCACTAACTTAAAAAAATATATATGAATTATACTAAGCACCTTTTAAGAACAGGAAGGAGTAAAACTTGAAATCAATAAGTCAAAATGCCCAGGAAGTATATAAACTCTTAAAGGTTAAACAATATGCTACTAAATGAACAATGGGTCAGAGATGAAATAAAGGACAAGATCAAAAAATTTATGGAAACCAAGAAAAACTCAAATACAACATTCCAGAACTTGTGGGACACTGCCAAAGCAGTGTTGTGTGGTAAGTTCATAGCAATCGGCGCCTATGTCAAAGCCCAAAAAAGATACCAATTACAAGAATTAAACATCCACCTCCAGAAATTAGAGAAACAGCAACAAAATGACCCTTCAAACAAAAGGAAACAAGAAATCATCAAAACAAGAGAAGAGATAATCCAAATACAAATCAAAAAAGCTGCACACAACAGCAATGAATCAAAAAGCTGGTTCTTTGAAAAGATGAACAAAATAGACACCCCCACTGACCCGACTGACAAAGAAAAAAACAAGAGAAAACTAGAATTAGTAGCAAAAAGGATGAAAACGGCAACATAACAACTGACAACACAACCATTAAGAAAATAATTAGAAACTACTCTGAACAACTATACTGCAACAAATCAGATGACCCTCAGGAAATGGAAAGGTTCTTGGACTGCAACCACTTACCAAAACTTAGCCCAGAGGCTACAGAACACCTGAACAAACCCATAACTGAGGCAGAGATCGAATCAGTGATCAAAGATCTCCCAGCAGAGAAATGTCCAGGTCCACATGGTTTCACTCCAGAACTCTACAAAACATTCCAAGCAGAACTAACCCCAATCCTCCACAAACTATTCAAAGCAATAGAAAAAGAAGCAACCCTTTGAAACACATTCTATGAAGCCAATATCACCTTAATCCCAAAACCAGACAGAGACTAAGAGAGAAGGAAAACTCCAGACCAAACTCCCTGATGAACATTGATGCTAACATGCTCAACAAAATCCTAGCCAATATAATCCAAAAAACATCAGAGAGATCATTCATTCGAACCAAGTAGGATTCATCCCTAGAATGCAGGGATGTTTCAGCATACACAAATTCATAAATGTAGTACACCACATCCAAAAACTGAAGAACAAAAATTATATAATAGTATCAATAGACAAAAAGGCTTTTGACAAAATCCAACGCCACTTCATGCTAAAAAACTCTAG